TTCATGAAGATGCTAACAACCCGGTTCTTGGCCATCAAAAATTTGCAGAGGGATCGCCGCTCAGCGGCGATGCTGCCTTGGCTCTGGTGAGAATATTTCTAACCCCAAGAAGTAGAAGGGGAAACCTAGAGCAAGGGACAAAGACAATGTTGAAGCCGGAAGAGTCGCCACATTGGGCGAAGGAGCCAATTTTGGCGAGAAGGGCAGTCGGAAGAGTCGCCTCATCGGGCGAAGAAGCCAATTTTGGCAGGAAGGGCGGCGGCAACTTGGTTGGCGAATAGGCCAGTGCGGCACCCAGATTCCGAAGGTAAATCTCTGCAAAAGGTTGATAGGTTTAGGTTAGGGTTTATGTGAAGGATGAAGGTTGATTGGGAAGAAAATGAGAGAGACTATATTGGCCAAGGGGAAAACCGATTGGGTTGGAAAAGGTGAGGTTGTATGTACAGAGTATGACGAAAGGTGATTTGGAGGTCAATAAGGTGGAGCCGAAGAGTAATCAATCGGCTCCGACTACGGCAGCCATGAAGACTGCCTCTGTGGCGTCAAAACCAGCAAGGGTGGTGGAGAAGAAGATTAGAGGATTCAAAAGCCATTGAAAAGAAAGGATCGGGGTTGTTAAACCGAGAGGGCTCTGATACCATGTGAATGTTTGATTAATCCACCACACCTAAATGGTGTGAAAGTTATCTTATTTATAATCAAATGAATTACAAGGATATGGAAATAGTAATAAATGGAAATAACAATAAATAGAAAGATACGATAATAGGGCAAATATCTAATATTTGTCTTATAATAAAATATCAAATATAATATATATGGTAAACAATAATTTATTACTAAATATCCTTAACAGTTACATTCATTTAGGCAACCAAGCGTGACAAATATCGTACAATTTGGTTTTATAGTCAAACATACAGATTCCTTGTTTTCCCACAATCCACAAACACAGAGTTTTGTTGCATTTGATTCTATCTCTGTAATCCTTGTAGATATCAAAGTACTGTGAAAACCCAGGCCATTGAAAGGTACAGTAAAATTGTGTTGAGCCCTAAAAGTTTGGTCGAAAGGTGAAGGCGTAGCCGCCCAAAAACGGGAGCTGGTGGATTCCCAAGTCATCATCGCCAGATTTGCAGTGAACAGTGAGTTGATTGTGACTTTCTAGAACATTTGTTATATTGACTGTAATCGGTGGGTCTTTGAAGATTGATCCGTCAATGGTTGTAAATAGGGTAGTGAAGAACAACTACATTAGGAGAGATAATGCAAGTGTTGAAAATGAATTCATTGTGTAAATATGATAATGCTTGTGCCCGGTTTGTTTCACTTTTATACTTGCAAAATTAGTTTTAATTGTGTACCGCTTTTCCGATTGATCTGTTATATTAGGATGGGTGACCCAATATACGTGCTTACTTATCGATTGTTTTATTTATTGTTATTAGTATTTTTTGTGATCTACAAAAAATACTCATAAGAGCGATCGTTAACCATCCGACGTTAACTGTAACACATTCTTGAGTGTAATGTTATGGTCTTTTAACTTTAAAGCGGATGAACAAGGGTGAGTTTTGATATTTTGTATTCTTGTCATAAAAGAGGGTAACGTATAGTCTACATGGTATGTTCGTATTTCCCTCCTCTGATATGTCATTTATGAATTGAAAATATTTATATTAGACACATTGTGAAATATCATTTATATCATATTTTTGTATTATCATTTCCTTAAATAAACCAAACGATTTCAAATAATTTCTCTCCAAGTTAGGAAAAGTAAATGGTACGTTGAACATTGTGGCTTTATTAGACCTTTGACAGGGTTATTCTTCGTTAACCCAACATAACTTATGTAGTGACTAAATTCTGTTCAATCATACTTGCCTCTACTCTAGGCTATGTCCTAAGGCTCGACTTTACCTTTGTTCTTGGCCAAAATTTTTGGAAAGCAATGTCGCATCTCGTATAGTTGTTTTGATTACCAATCATGACCAAAATAAGTTGACAATTCTTAATATCATAATTTATGTCACACTACAAGAAACAATGAATACAATAGCTTACGAAAAATGCCATCATAGACTTTTTATAGCGTTTTTCGTATCGTGACAGCCCATGTTATTAAAAGTCTGAGACATTTTATAGCGTTTTTTTTGTAGCTATAATAAGTATTATAATAAAGTATGAAGTTATAGCTTTTATACATTGTTATATAATCATTTTATAGCGTTTTATTAATGCTATTATATGTTTAACATAACTAAAATTTTGTGTTATCTTTAGCCTATAATTGTATTTTTTTAACGCTATAATATAACATTTATAGTTTTAATATTATGCTATAATAAAGTATTTTAATCATTTATAATAATTATAATTATTCTAATAACATTTCCATAGAATTTATTATTTTTTGTTAGTCAAAATTTATTTTAATATTTAAATATCATTGAATTAATTTTATTGTAATAAAATTTAATCCAAGTATTCATCTTTTGACTAAACCCACATTAAATATATAATACTAAATGTCATCCCTTAAATTCATAGTTGAAATTTTATAATAATTTTATAATCTATTTAGGTTACCAACTAATGTATTCAATAATTTCTAAAAATAAAGGGTTTTTCAAATGATACAAGATAAAGGATTCTCCACTATCTACACTGTTGTTCAATGAATGAGTCGCTATCATGTGAAAGCTTTGCATTGTAAGTCTTCTATCATCTTTGCTCGTGGAGTATACTCTTACAAACTTTTCAGCTTACATATTAAGACAACATTTTATAAGCTAATTGAACAAAAAAAAAAAAAAAAAAAACAAGATTTTACTATTACTTATAACCACTCAAATTCATAGTAGAAAATGGAAAATTTTAACTCAATTTAGCCTTAGAATTCAAAAAAAAAAACAAAAAAAAAAATGATTATAAAGAAAGAAAAATGAAATCTAAACTTTATGACTTCTCCAAATTTCACATTGAGACATTTAGATGTATGTATAATCGTTAAATAAAGAGAAACTTGTTGTATAAGTTCAAATTCAAAAATTAAAATTCTTCCAAACTAGAAAGAGATTCTCAAATCTCACTTCAAACCATAATAACAAAATTCATATCATTCAAATGAAAATCAAACTTAGAATCAAAGTATCTCTATACTTCTACATCTTCTTCGGCCTAAACCATTTTAAAATTCAAAATGCACTTATACATCTTCAGTCAAAACCACTTTAAAATTCAAAACAATCATAAATAGAGAAGAGTATTTTGAGGAATGACTGTAAATCCATACTTGAACATCAAGAATCTAAAATACAGCAACCAATTTCAATTGAACTTACCTAAATCTTTGGAGGCTCCTAGTACGAAATCTCCAAAACCTCTTCTTTAAGTCACTATTGCTCTGCTCACCTTCATCTCTCTAACCTTCTAAAAGAGGATAATTAGTAATATAGAAGTAGATTAAAAAAATGAAAGAAAAATTTTGATGTCGTATGGGAAACAAATTGTGAAATGAAATGGACAAAAACCAAAAGATGGAAGGGGAGAGATAAAAATTGGAGGTGGGAGTTAAAAAATTGTACAACAAAATATATAGCCATGATGTTCAATTTTTCATAGTTTTTAGTTCAAAATGTTATATTTAAAGGCTACAAAGGTATTCTTTCAAAGAGATGAGACTTATATAGTGTAGACTAGTAGTGAGATATTATAAATTTTTTATAACAAGTTTCTAAAATGATTTCATTTTCCACCTATTCTACGAAGGAACTTGCTTACAATTACTCAATATCAAAGAAATGCAAGAAATAGAAGATAGAGAAACACTTTCATCTATTCCTTGACCTCACTCCCATTCCATAACAACGTATTCCCACAACAACTAACCTTATATGCACCGTATAAGAACCAAAACAAATAATAAGATGACAGCACTAATTGTGACAGATAACTCAAGAGGGAAACAAAGGATTAAAAGGCTTTTTTGTAATTGATAAGAGTCTTTTAATTAAAATTTAGTCATTAGATCAATATTTTTCAAAGTGAATTAAGACAATGATGAATTTGAAGTAGAATCACTCCACATGTGAGAGATAATAAATAACTAAAAGATCAAATGTCCAAACACAAAAAGAAATGGAAAGAGGAAGAAGGCATCCGAGACTTATTGTGCAAAGCAACTTTGTTATTGAAAAATTGGGCACATTTTTCAATCTCAAACTTGACATACCGCCTAAAGAAGACATTGTCACACTGCCAAAAGTTCAAATTTCCTCACTCCAAACTTGTATACTTCTTAGCACATTTAAAATTCAAACCTTACTTCAAATTATACATCTTTCCCTAGTATAATTGCAATAAAATTAAAACAAACAAAACCTCGAGAGTCTCTATTATTATTCTTCTTGGCTCAAGTCCTAACAATCTTACTTAACATCCCACACAACACTGTTTTCCTTCCAACTAAGTTATATCAAATCCCCACTTATCCATTTTAATCATTCATATCTTTATCAATTTCTCACTCTCAATCATTTCCCTTTCACCCCTCTCCACTGCTCCAAGTAACTCTTAGTTACTTAATCGCTCAATTATGATAATTTAGAATGTGTTCTAGACATTAAAAATATAGTATTGCATCCTTGTTATATTAATTTGTCTTGTGTCTATATTTATGCTTCTCATCCAAATAGCCAATAACATAATGAGTTAATGTTCATGATTTCCCCTTCACCTCTTCATTTCTTACCGCAACCACACATGCCCTCATAACACTGAATTGAAAGCTATTCTACAACAATGGTTCTCTTGTATTTAAAGGACCCTTAACTCTATTTTACATAACTAAAGAATCAAATTCAAAATCAAAAGTTCTTGTCTATGTCTATCAGCAACCATTCAGGCCATTTCAAGCACTAAGCTTCTAAACTGAACAACAATAGAAGAAAAAAAAGTTGATTAAAATACAAAATCATTTATAAAGGGAGTCGTACCATGCGTCGGTCAGAAAAAAAATAGGATGGGCACATCTTGTTTCCACCTGTATTCTTATTTCAAAGCCTTCTTCGATATGATTAGGCAACCTAGGTCAACATATCTGTTTTTTTTCCCCTCCACCGAACCGAGAAGCCAGCTCCTCTGCATCTCATCCAGTTCATTCTTGTTGTACGATTGCGATAGCAGGGCCGCCCCCTTTTTGCAATGACGAATCTTTTATGTGTTCCGAAGAAAAGTTGTTCATTTTTCGGGGTCTCGAAACTTTCCGTAGAACTTTCGATAGAACTTTCCGTAGAACTTTCCGTAGAACTCTCCGTTCTAGTTAAATCACTTCCATCCGTGCTAGTTCTTATACTGGAACTCTCACTTTCACTACTATTTCCACCTTCACCACAAATGTAACTATAAACGTAACTGTCACTGTAATTGTGACTACCACTTAAAAAGTAACTATCAATACAGATTTGAGACCGAAGATAACTGTCAATGCAACTATTAATGTGATTATTCCAACTATCATAGTCGGAATCATCACTCTTAGATACATTATTTTTATAAGTAGAGTTCCAAAAACTATAAAAAAAACTTTCTAGTTCACTTACAAAAGAAGGATCATTAACTATCCTCCGCGTTTCGGTCATGATCCTCGTCGCCGCCTCTACTGCCGTTGTGGTTGTTGTCGATCACTTCCAGCAGCCTAATGAGAGAAATGGGTGAGTTCTGAAACTGTCAATGGAAAGAAAGGAAAAAACTCAAAAGAGATGGATCTAGGGCTACGAGAAAGAACCGAAGAAATGAGCTAGAAGAGATGGAAACCGAAAAGAGAAAGGAGAAAGAAATGAGAGAAGAGATGAATCTAGGGCTAGGAGAAAGAACAGAAGAAATGAGAGAGAAGAGAGGGAAACCCAAAAACAAAAAGAAATGAGAGGGAAACAGGAAAAATAATGGGAGGGAAGAGAGAGGGAAAAAATATTCATTTTTTATTCGGCCATTTTCCTTTTTTTTCATATCATTATTTTAAAAATGCTATTCTGCAATCCTATGAAAAAGGTACCACGAACATAGAGTACTTTCACAATTCTTTTTATCTCTCTTATTTACGTACATAGCGAAGTAATGAAATGAGTCAGACCATTGGAAGAAACAGTAAAACAATGTTGAGAACTATAAATTTAGACGAAAGCTAAAGTCGTAGTTGGCCCACGATGTAAGCTTGTGGACTCCATCGCCAGATTTGGAGTGAAAAGTGAGCTAATTCTTAGCTTTTAGAGCATTTGTTATCTTGACGATAATTTATGGATTTTGGATCATCGATCATTCGATGGTAGTGAATTGGTTAGCGAAGAACAATGAAATTCAGAGAGAAAGCGTAAGTGTTGAAAATAAACATATTTTGTTGAAATGGTAGAGAAAAAATATAGGCATAAACACATTTGTGCTTGGTTTGTTTCACTTTTATAGTTGATAAATAGTGTAATGGAAGGTAAAAATTGATTGTATCTTTGAGAGGTTTCAATATTCCTATTCTTGCCATAAATAGTAAATATGGATCATTTGATAACATTTTCATTTATTGTTTATTATTACAACAGATGTGTGGGAAAACTTTCTTTTTTTCTGTTTTTATTTTTTATTCCTGAAAAATTCCTCAAAAATCATCTATTAGTTTTTGTGGGGGATTAGAGATGATTATCCAGTGCGAAATCCTCAATTTAGTTTTTTTTTTTTTTGGAGATTAGAGGAAGGATTCCTCATGGAGATCACATTGGATCACATTGGAGACAAGGAATTTTTTTTTTCAAATAATTTTTTACCAAAAAAATTTAATTTTCTAATACTGATCCTATTAAAAAAATGTATAAATTAAAATAAAATTAATAATATTTCTTATTGAACATTTAAATGCTATACAAGGGAGATGGAGTAAGAACATACCATATAAAGAGCTAGTAAGATCATGTAAGATTAAAAGCTTATTGGACATTTAAATTATACGTTTAGACCTAGACATAATGTCTAATAGGTCTCTAAATTTTGATTATTTTAGTTCAACATTTCAGGAGTAAGAAATCGAGCAATCGAATTTTGTTATCTTAATTCATACCGTATCTTTTAAATTACGTGTAGGGTAGCTCATACCTTATCTACAAAGGATTATGTATCTAAATAATATCTTGACCCAAAATGTGAAAGCTCGTTTGTTTAGAATGGGTCAAAATAAATTTAGTTCATTTCACATCCACCAGATTTGAAGTTAGAGCTTGAAAGTCGAGCTCGCCTAAATTTCAGAACCAACTCATCCATAAACACCTATGGAAGGATAACAACCTTCGATTTTGATAAGTATGGTCGTAAGGAAGAAGAAACCCTAGAAATAATTCTATGGCTATTTTTGTTGCAATTTGATAAACTTTTTACCAAAATGATCGTATCTAATTGTATACAAGTACTATACGTTCAACATCTTAGAATACACTAAATAATTGCTTGATGATGGTTTATATTTTCACTTACGAGATGACCTCCTTCCCAAGGAGTTTGCAGTTTGGAGGCATTACACTTCATGACATTTTTTTATGTAAACTAGTTTATTACCCTTCTAAGCTCCATCGAGTCTTTGTAACAGAGCTGCTATCACATTAATATGGAATAAAAATGGTTGGGTTTTATGTCCTAAAACTCATAGTTTGTAAACAAAGACATATTCTATTTTCAATAAAGTTATTATTGATGTTTATTCAGTAAATATTGTTATTGAATAAAGTGACCTTTACGATCATTAATCTAAATCCAATAAACTAAGAACACTCTGGCTATAGTATGATTACTTGAACTATATGTAGAGACATAAAAGTGGATCAAGTTCAAGTATATAGTCAAAATGATCTATAGTATAAGGATAAGGCTGAGTACCTTATTCTAGGGACACTATGGATGCGGCCCTCTTTTGTATATGATAAAAAACAATGTGATTACTAAATTGTACATGTGGAGACATGTGAGTGGGGGCGTCCTATGCAATGAGTATTGCATAAGATCGGATCATGAAGAAAATCACTCTCTCTTTATAATGTCGTTTACTGTTGAGACTGATTTTCTTTTCATTTGATGACCTAGGTAACTCGATCTTAATCCTGAGCTAACCATTAACTCCCGTTCATTCGAAATTATCCTTAGATTTGCATGGGTGAGAGTGGCTCGAGTTCGTCGACTCAATAGGCCTCCCATTTCAGAGGTAAGACTGGGTGAATAGCTGAGGACGTGGGGTGCAAGATAGAGGGATTTGGTTTACTAGTTGGACCACAAACCAATTGTTCATAAGAGAATCAGTGGGACATAAGGAACAAGAAGTAACTTTAGGGGTAAAACGGCTAATTGACCCAGCTCTAGTTACGAACAACCTGTGAATGATCGACTTACTAATCATGGTTATATCAAATGGACAGAAATATATCAATAGTGAGGGGAGTGCAATTACTAGGCTATGGTGGAGTGTCCTAGTAGTTAACGAATGTTGGTTAACAATGTTAATGAGTTTAACCAGTTAATCTTGGATCGTTGGAGCCCATGACCTATGGGTCCATTAGGTCCCTCTGCTAGCTTATATCGGACTAAACCATAGAACAGTGTGACGAAGGAGTTCGAAGTGCTCGAATTCAAATTAGGGAATATGTGCTACATATATACGTTATATTTAACTGCATTTTTGTTTTATTTACGAATTAAACAAAAAAAGTGAATTTGAGATATTTAAATCTAATAAATTATGTGTCGAAGTTGATTGAAATTGACATTTGAATTAATATTAAATATTAATTAAATAGTTTAATTAATCATTTAATGTTACTTTAATTTGAAATTAATTATTCAAATTAATTGTTGAATTAAAATGAAGAAAGTCAAAATGTTGACTTCATTTATTGAAAAAATCCATGTAAGTGGAATTTTGATGTGTCAAAATTTGGTTTAACCAAACTTATATGCTTGCCAAATAAACCCCACAAGTTTGAGTGGAATTTTGAGTGTCAAAATTTGGTTAACTCAAACATGCATGCTTGCCACATAATCCCAAACATTTGAGTGGAATTTTGAGTGTCAAATTTTGGTGATCTCAAATTTGCATGAACATGCAAACATGACTCTTTAAATAGAGTGATCATGGTACATGGAAGGTCTTTTTAGACCTTGAAAAAGACCTTGAGAAAATTCTCACAAGCTCTCTTTTCATATATACTAAATCCCTCCCAAGTTAAGTCACTCACCAGATTACATAATCCCGTTCTAAGGCCGGAGGATAGTGGAGAAGACACTAGTGGTGGTTCGAAACCAATTCGTGAGGAAAAAGAAATTTGAACTACAAAAAGGTTAGTATTCAAATTCATTAAGTTTTAATACTTATGAACATGCTAGTTATTTACTATAATTGATGTTTTAAAAGTGCCTAAGATCCAAATTGCTTCCGTATGTGTTATATTAACACCATCAAAAATGAGTTCAAGAACGTACAGTATAGAGCGATTTGAACCTATGATATCGTCAAGAGTACAATCTCATGACCATTTAAATTATGATCAGGTTGAAATTAATTTGTTTTGTTGATCTTATACTCGAAAAAAATTTGCATAGGTTGTATAATTTAATATAACATAGTTGAATTATTATAAAGTAGGTAATTTTGATTAAAAAGTCAATTTAATTAGTGAATATTGTCTTTTTTGGGTTTTCCCTTCAAGACTCCCACTCAAGGTTTTAAAACGATGTATCAGGGGTTTTCACACCCTTATGAAAATGTTTTGCTCACCTCTCCATTCAATGTGGGATCTCTCAAAGAGAATGTCATATCTAAAAGAGTAGGTTGTGACCTACACGATAGACAAGAAAGCAACATGCGAGTTGGGTCCATCGGACCACTTGAGAGCCATAAATTTTGATTGGGTGGCTATAAATTTAATTGATACTTCAATACAAATAGATAAGCAAATAAAAATAAGAATACTCTTCTAGATTTGGTCCAAGATTGAAAACCAAACCCTTTTGATCCAAACAAGAGAGCCTAAGGATTACAAGCTAATGAATTTTTAAATTTAAAAACTTATTAAAAAGAGAGTTAATTTCCTTTGGTATTTGAGTTTGGTTTATGTTTGAAAAAAGTATGGGAGATTTTCCTTAAATGAGGAAAATTATATCTACTTGTTTTCTCTTTTTGAAAAACATCTTATTGTCCGTGTTTTTTTTAAGAATTATGCATTCAGGTGCATGCTCATTTCTCAAGCAAAAATAATTCTCAACGTTGGAGATTATAACAGAAGAACACCTAAACGGAGCGAACGAGAGGGACTTTAACCCAGCCCATCTTTACCACATTACGAGACATCTTCAAATAATTTCGATCAAAGTAGATGAAATTAATAAATAAGTAGGGTATAAGTTCAAATACCTTTAACAAATCTTAATATTATAATTCATTAAAACTAATACAACATATCAAATTTTAAGGAAAGAAAAAAAACATGCACAAAAACAACATATTAATATCCATTTATTATGATATTATAATTGAACTTTCCAATTTATGGATATATTGATTAGTTATATT